GAACACTTTGGTAGGGAACTACAACAAGCCGGAACAATTTTTCAAATCGTCAGGTTTGGTGTCTTTTATTAGTAAATTCCAGCGTTAAATCAATTCGAGAATCAGGGAAGGATAAAACACTGTGGGTATTCGATCTGATCGATTTACTGATTCATCCATTCTTCCTCCCTTTATTTATTTGTTCATACGACGATATATGAAATATAGATATTCATTAACTCATTCGTTTATTTATCTATCTATCTATCTATTAAATAGAGGATATTACATGACGAATACGATACGAATTTTATCGTGAAGTGCTGTATCTCTCATGATCCGAATACAAGAAAGTCGGCAAAAAATATTTTCTGTGCAGTTGCAGAAATTCCATGATTTTTATCTCCACCATTGAAAATATACATGAAACTTTAACAATTACCCGGCTTCTAGGTTCCAAAGAGTAGTATAACTCAACTTAACAATTGACTCCAAATGTGCTTATTAAACCCAAATAGGATCACAGCCAATTTTTGGCGCTGTAACCTGATCGGTTACGGATAACATAAAATAGTCTCACAGCTCTGTTTCTTTCCATCTCTTGTCGCTCGATCTGAACAACTGGGAGCTGCACAAAAAGGCGTTCTTTATTCGGATATTGATTTTTTTTTTTACCGATAACCAAAGCATCAGCTGTTTGCAAACGATGCGTTGTAGTTTTGTGCGTGCGGCCAGGTTACTTTGCTTTTTCTCAAGCTGGCGCCGATCACAATTTAATTTTCAATACATTTGGAAAATTTTTCATAACAGTTAGAATACTCTTGAAAGTAAAATTCTTTGTGATGAAAATAAAATGTATACAGCTCAGTTCGGGGTATACTTCGGGCATAATTACGTATATCTTTTAAATAGTGCGAAAGTAGCCCCCTACACAAGACAGGGGTTAGATTCGGGGGCTCCAAACTTTATCTTCCAAGTTTAAAGTAGGTGTACAGCCAGTGGAGAGCAGTTAGACTTGATAAATAGAAAACTATAAATGCCACTTGGATTGCTTTGAGAGAACAACATACAACAACACAGGTTTGGCATAATCAAAAAGATTATAAGGTTGTCATAAGTACTTTGAACTTCATTACTTCATATGATTGTGTAAATATCTACAGTGAAATGTATGGTTGTTGAACATTGAGCAAGTAAACAAGCTTTAAGGATTTGAACAAACTAGGTTGTTAAAAAAATTATTTTGTGTTTCTTAGAGACCCCGGCGACACTTCGAGACTGACACATCCAAGAGCTTGGTCAGTGAAAGTAGTGATGAGTGAAATAGACAGAAAGAATTAGGGTTGTCTGAGATCTGATATGTTAATTGGAAACGTGCTCTGAATTCTAAAAGTGACAGAACATTATGACCAAATTTTATACGTGTCTTCACACTGGGAGGTTCATATCCATATTTGGCGTTGTTTAACTCTGGTTGAGGCATTGAGTTAAATCAAACCACAAACAAACGTAACCTTTCCCTATTAGAAATACTGAAAACAACGGGGATAATTTGTAAACTCAGTATTCTTTGTATGAGAATTACTACTCAAATCAAAAGTTAGCCTCGCACTCTTTGATAGCACGAACGTAATCAAGGCGTATTTCTTCATGTTTCAAGAAAACACGATTAATGATCTAATTTCAAACCAAGTTTACAATACGAAGATTTTACAGTGTTATTATATAACACCAATGTAAGTGCTTGAAAGTTTTTTTGACAAAGGCAACTCAATTTACAAAGATCGCGCCCACGGGAAAGATTTTAAACAGATTTTGACCGAACCATAGAGATAACTGATTCTCTGTTTACCTTAAAAGCTCAAATATTTTCAGATTAATATTTTGGTGTTTACAATAATTGTATTCACTGTTTTTGCAACAGTTCCGTTAGTTTACATGTAAAGCCTTCGTTTTATGAATTTTTAAATCGCTAACACTTCGTGACACATAAAACTTATTTAACCGTTAAAATTTCGTAATAAATGTTCATGCCTGAAAAAGCAATCAGTACTACAATACTTCGTTGATCAAAGTCTTCAGACTTAGGTAGTTCATCAATCGAGGCTCGAAATCCTTTCATGAATGTTCAAATGAATTTGTGGAAGGTGTGAATTTCAATATCCGCGAGGCAGAACCTTTCTTGTCAATAATACGAAATTTATTGTGTCTCTCTACCTATGTATTTAAACGAGCAAATTTAAAGAACCCTTGGCAATGGCGTGCTGAATAGACAGCGTTTAAATCATTTCTGGTTTTTGTTGAAAAGCTTATCAAATTCAGCGAAAGCAAGCGTTTACGAAATACCCGTTAATATGATATCGCAAGGCAGCTGTATTTACCGGCATAAAGTGCTCCATGTTTCCGCACTTCTCCTGTATACATCAATTACAAATCCCGATAGCCAACCTCATCGAGTAATAAAAGAACGAAGTGCTGATTGGCGGACGCAATATGTAAATTACATGACCAGACGTTCGGCTTTTCTATTTTTCTGAATTAATGCGTTGTGTTTCGGTGATTTCTTGTTCAAGATGAATTTTGATGAATGAATAATATTCCCTGCTCACTTTCCATGACGCGCTATTTTTGGGTCACAGGTGACGACGAAATAGAAGTCCAAATGTTTCGATGGCCGATGAGGCGAAGGATCTCACTAAGAATTCGGAAAACAAGCTCCGGGCGGCAACAGAGGTTTTCCAGCGTAAATATCGTTCTATGTCCACTTATGGTGAGCAAGTCATCGATGATGCCAACCGCTCAAAGAAAGCGCTGTTCTGCCTTCCGGAAGATAACCCTATAAGATTCTACTGCAAAAAGATTGTGGAATCCAAGTATCCTTTACTGAAAAACTTGAAAAAAATCATCATCATCATCTCTAATATATCTTTGCTTGAATTTTCATCAGTTATTCCCTTTTGTTCCTGACACTTGTTCTATATTTAACCATATTACCTTGTGTCTCTCTGGTACCTCATTCTCAGGTTGATGTAATTTTAATTTCGCGGTGCCCTAAGTCTGTTCACAATCATCTTTTAGAGGCGCTTGCGATTTTGTTTAGATTTTGTGTGAAATTTTTTTCCTCGTGCGTCACAGGGAAATAGTAACACGATGGACAATATGATTACTCCAAACATGAAATTCCCCAGATTGGAATTGATCCAAATGTTTTCCTTTTATTTTATCTCTTCAAGGAATTAGCTTCAGACTCCTGTACCTTAGGCACCCTTACTTTATTTTGCTTTTTAAAATGATTTGATACGATGTTTAATTTAGTCGATTTCACAATTAGATTGCTGTATTGCTGTTTTCCTGAACTCTGCTCTAGGAAGTTTGAATATTTTATATTACTGACAATCGCCGTAAATTGTGTTGTTCTGATGTTAGATGAACCGCTACCCAATGGAGATACAACTAAGAGAAATGAACAACTGGTAAAGAACTGCTTTCTTCTCCTTAGGAACCAACAGAGACAAATCTATGGTTTAATTAAAGAAATCGTTTCTGTATTTTTTCGAACGAAGCTATTTGAAAGCAGGAAACCTACCCAGCAAAACAACGAAATGTGTTATAAAGTAAATTACTAACAAATCTGGAGACAAAAGTGAGCTACGAACGAAAAACAGCAACTAATATATTTATTTACGGATTATTCTTGAAATGTTTTCGTTTATTTTCTTAAGGAAAAATCAGAGAAGTACTTCGTCATAATCTACTGTATAGAAGCTGCCACGAAGATCATCGCCAGTGGTTTTCTCCTTCATAAGGATGCATACTTGCGAAACGGTTGGAATATTTTGGATTTTGTGGTGGTCGTTGTCGGGTAAGCCCTTTTTATTTGTCTAAATGACAGTAGAGTTTGCGAACATTAACATTCTCTTCGTTCAGCTGCTTTTGTTGTCATTTTTTATCTACGCCGGAAATTTCGTTCGAAGCGGATAGCGCGCGAGTTGTGCGTTTAACATCGAAACGCATTTTTGGCCCCAGAATCCGATCTTACCAGTGATTTTTAATGTCTTCCTTTTTTACGCCATTTTGGAGACCCCCGTTGTGCAAATAACAAGAAAGAATAAATAGAATGAATCATGAAAGGTCCTTGTATTTAGTTCAGTCAGAGATACACCAGCGGCAGGTCTTATTCGAATTAGCTCTCTCTTCGCTAGCAATAAAATCGCTACAGAAATAACACGCTAAGCAAGCAATGCGTTTGCTAAATAGAACGACTATTGTGTTGTAAATATGTAGCACCTCGTACTGTCATGACATTAATGCCGCGAACAACAACAACAACCACGAAACAGATATACATTTATTGATAAATAAACAGACACGATAAACTTATTATATTTCAATCAAATACTTTTCGCTTGACACTAACCGAACACCAGCCCGTTCATGTCTCCACGAATTTAACATTAAAATTATGAAATAACATTTTTACGGCCTTATTTTCTGGCAAACGCTCTATATACTATTTATTACGTGAGCGTATCATCACAAAGTAAAAAGAATGAAACCATTTTAAGCCACTGCGATTGATTTTCACTATGCGAGTTGTCTAATATTCTGTAGCACACATAAAATGATTCCTCATCATTGCTCGATTTTTTGGATCAAACTCTCTTATTATCAAATGTCATTGAGTATTTTCTCCAGGTAAGACCTCGTTCCCAGAAAAACCATATTGTTTTTAACTTCGTTTCCCCTAGTATTTTAAAGAAGTTTGGAATAGAATTGTCGTGTTCCAAGTACTAAGCTATTGCATGGCTATATCTTGATAAAGCATAAGCTGTTCTTTGTTGTTCGTCTCAACATACTTCTGAAAACTTTAAAATTAAACCCGACAGAAAACACTTCATGGGCGACTCTTTTGTATCTACTAACGAATGCTCTCTCGCGAAGTTTCCCTCTTGTTTTAAGTATTCCGCTTATTCAGCCAATCCCAATTAAATCTACTAACAAAGAGTTAAGGTGAAAATAAATTACCTCCAACAACTTAATTTACGGTTATTGCAGTACATAAAAACGAAATAATATGAAAGAACATGTGGTGATTGTCTACTGCCTTTGTTTAAGCACGTGATAAAAAAAAAAGAAAAAAAATGCGAAAAGAAAACTTATCTGACTCAAAAATTTAACCACGCCCATACAAGTACAAGCTGTTGTATTGAAGATAGATAAAGACTATTTGCTGTATTTTGACAAACTTAGTGTGCCATGGAATGTTTTAGTAAATAGGTCCAGTATGGTTTGTAACTTCAAATAGACAAGGGGATGACGTTTAGATTCTTACCAAAACAGATTTGGATTTATCCTCGATGAAGCATTTCGCATTTTTTTTAGCTTCATATCATCATTAAATGAAAGTTTACCATAAAACAGATGGAAATTAAAAAGTTATGACTCCTTGTCAAGCGCAGCTACATTGTCAAAAAAAGGATTAATGCCGAGTGAGGTGGAACTTACGATTTTTTTTTTTCACTCAATGTATTTTTTTTCATGCAAAATAACTGTTTAAGTAAGAAATGTCAGGTTAGATCCCATTTAAAGCCTGCCTATTTTGAGACCAAAGGAAACCAAGCGTAAAATTCTTAGTATTCGCCGCGACCGCCGACGTATGTTTAATCATGTTTTAAAACAGCTAGGTAAATATGAAAAGGTGGTGGACACCTGAAGGATGTGTGTGAACAACAATAGCTTACTGAGGAAGGAAAAAGGAAATGTGTCAAGACGCAGTATTCACTTATTTGTATAAAAAGCTATTTTAAAAACAATTTGTTCCAATTTCGATCCAGTTTTCAAGGCGAGAAGAGTCTTGAAAGGTGTTTTTGTTACGCAACATCAGAAATTCATTTACTTATGACTGGAGTTAGATCATTCAATTATTAAATTTGTGTTTTGAAATCCCTTTTTACGGGTGGGATGTTTTTCCACGGATGGCGAAATAAAAGGAAACCGTTGTTTTTTAATTTAAGCAACTGTTGAGATCTCCATGGTGATAGATTGTCAATTGACTAGTTTTTCATCCATCGATTACTGACTCTTTATTCCCGGTCTGAGTGAAATTTCTACATATCCAAGATGAAGACTATTTTCTATTAACCTGCAGACATAATCTGAACTATTTATTTAAACCCATGATAAATTTTGCAACCTTTTTACAGGGAGCATACGATTCGGCTGCTAAACCCAGTTTATTTATATGCATCTAGAGCATATAGAACACTTTGCATTTTTTCCGTCTTCATTCCAAAAACGAAACTGCCTTTCAGGCTTATGATTTCTGAAACCCTGGGACGGGGTTGTTGAAAAATTTCATCCGCGAACAGCACAGCAAACGTTTCACACCATTTCAAAGATCTACGGCCATCCTATAAAAGAACATTCCCAAGCTCACTAAAGTGCCAACATTCCCCTTCACTCTTCGACCCCTCTTTCCCACTTGAAACTGAATTCTAACAAGGAAACTAACAAAAGGTCGTATACTTTTTCTCCACTGAGGAAAAGATGGCTGAATAAACAATAAGATGCTGCAATAAGCTACAGGAAGTGTAATCTAAAAATAGCAGAAAGGAAAAAACTAGTATGGATATCAGATGAAACACAAAAATTGAAGATCGAAATAAAAAATAACCAAGTTATGTGTCATAAAGTGAAAAATTTATTTAAGTTTGACAACAGGAAAGTAACTTCTCGCCTTTCTCGTGATATTAACGCTGGGCAGCGTGCTGAGTTTTCATACTTATCTATGAAATTCGATGCCTTTATGTCATAAACCTATTCCCTTTATTTGCTTTCTTAAAATTTCTTTAATTACCAATTACTCGCATAACGAACATGGTCCAGGTTACCTTCAGGCCATTAGCAGTCATTTATTTAGTATTGCATTGAAAAGAGCATTTTCTGAGATAGAGTTGTCAACTTGATTGAGAGTTTTAATTCCATCAGCTAAAAATAGCTTTTATGAATGAAAAATTTACAATTTACATTCAACATCGTTCGCTATAGGTAGAAGCTAAAAAACTCACAACTCGTATGTTTCCTTTTCTAATCTGCATAGTTCTATTTTTCTCGGAAGTTTTTTCTTTCTACTTCTCGCAAAAGAATGCAAAAAGTGTATTTGTTGTGCATCCGGGGGATTTTACAACTAATGAACTACAGAGGGGTAGTTTCAGTTAGTCAGTTACAGTTTGGAGGGTCAGTGGCCGAAATTGTTTCAGTTTTTACATTTTAGACGCTCAAAAATCCTTTCAATTCTACCAAAATTTTTCCTTTTCCCTTTTGCCATAAGTATTTGCTCACAGCACTCTTTCGATATTTTGGCGTATTAAATATCTCAAGTTTCCTGCAAGTTTGAGAGACATTAATGTCTCCCCGGCGTAAAAACAAAAATCTAAAGATTGTACGCGTTCGCCTTTTATTTGTGTCCGAGAATTTCTCTTTGTCGTGGGTGAAGCGATGGACTTTCCTCTTTGCTTTATCAATACGGACTTCCTTATTCTGAACTGACGAAATACAAACTGTATGATGACGTGAGTGTCCCTACGGTGATGCGAACTTCAAGTCACTTAGAACCTCTTTCAAGAGGCGACTATTTTAGTTCAAAATTTCATTCATTTATAACTGACTTTTCGCTCTTAAATAGTTCCACCCCCGGTGATGCTTTCCATTTGTAGGTATTCATCGTCAAATCTGTTTCCGTGAACTTCAATTGGCTTCGTCTCTGATGAAGATGGTTTATCAATATCCGTCTTCCTTACAAAATCATGTAATTCTTGGTGATGTATTGTAAATTAAAATGCGCTGATGGTATTGGTCCAGCACACATATTGTCTTTTAAAAAATCCATTTTTTTTTAAGTTTCCAAGCTCTGATAATTTCATTTTGTATGATTTGTCTGTACCGCTTTTGGTGCACAGAAAACATTTGTATGCTAGTGCTTGAAGGTTTGATTGACAAGTTCGCGTGGCCGGCAATATTAATCACTTTCATTCATTAGCTTATGAAACGCTTTCAACTAAATATTGTATTTTATCAACCACCTCGGACCAATTATATATTTTTCTTTTTATCATGACGACTCCGTTTTAGGATTTTTGGAAGCTACTGCGGCACGATAATTTTGAAACTTTAAATGCCAGAATGGTGAACGAAATAAATGGCGAAACATCGTCTTTTGATTACATATTCAGTTAGCGATAGTTTAATCATATTCCTTTTAACGCGAACTTTTAATTACCCTGTCCTGAGCGAATTTTCGGTTTGATCTTGTTAAAAAAGAAGACTAAAACACTTAAATGAGCATCCAGAGTGTGAAATTTGAGCACGAACAGAGAAAAGGTCATTATTGTATTAACATGTCTCATATCGCTCATTCAGGGGGAAGTTCACTTCTTTATTCAAATTTAACGGTTTAGCCACCAGCGAACTTTTGTCATACGATAATCGAATTCTCGAGCATTTGTTCGAGCTTTCCCACAGTTTTCGAAAAATTAACTTTCCCTGGAAATTTTTGCGGGAATATTCAGAAAAACAATATACGCAGGTCGACAAAGGTCCAGGGTGTTTGTTTTGCAAAGAAATTTAAGAATAAGGGTAAAAAAAGGTTATCTTCTTGCCATAGACGATATGAATCGCCGACCTTTTTTTCTAGATGAAATCAGTTCTATTTGGACCTACTGCCTGCTCCACTTACGTAATCAATAAGTTATCGTCTTTATTACAGACTCAAATCAATTAACTTTTTTCTACTTTCTAGGCTGGTGGGAATGATATCTGATCCTGAGATTTCTGGTGGGAGTGATAGCAACAGTTTAAAAGAGTCGGAGTCGCTTAAAGTTCTCCGAGCAGTTCGAGTTTTGCGGCCACTTAAAATTGTCTCTGGTATACCAAGTGAGTGGAACTGTATATTTACCACGCTAGACTGGGAAGAGTGCGGACTTTTGCCCAATCAGAGCGAAGATAAGCTTTTGTCGCTTAGTCCCGTCGCGATAAGTCCGAATCCTTACGGTCCTTAGCTGGTCAATTCAAATTTCAAAATTCAGATGAATAGGTAGTTTTTTTTTTGTATCAAAAGGAGGCAATTTAGGAATTTAGCGACCTTGCAGAAAAACGGCTTTAACTTATTGCCAACTGTGTGTAAAAGAAAAATTAAATTCTGGTGAGATAAGGGGTTGGGTGAGGAGAAAAGCGCTTAAATACTATCGACAATAAACGGAGATTGGTGATCGAAGGAATGAGTTCAATTCCTGATGGAATTACATTCCTTTTCGTTCCACTGCCGAGCTAGAATTCAATTCCATTTAACTCATAGCCTGTTATTTGTTTTGCTGCAGGTCTTCAAGTAGTCATGAAGTCAATAGCAAGAGCCATGATTCCTCTGCTGCAGATTTTATTTTTGATTTTATTTGTTATTGTAATCTACGCCATAGTAGGATTAGAACTCCTTCGAGGGAAGTTTCAGTGGACTTGTTACAATATCACAACAGGTGAGATTAATTATATTTGTATACCTCAATTGATGCTAGAAATACAAGTCAGAGGTTTGCTTCAAAGTTCAGAACATCTAATATGTTTTAGTAAAGGAGGAAAAGGGCGAGGCCGAGAATAGAAAACATTGGAAAAATAGATATTTCGCGCGATATTTGATGTTAAAGTACAATATTTCAACTCCATTCCAGTCATAATCATGAAGGGTTACAAGGATATTGAACTAGTAGCATCTATACTACCACTCTCAAAATCATTAACAGACGCCCTTTCCCATTCAATGTTGTTCTAGAGGGAGGGGACAAATAGATCTACTTAACGAAAACAAAAGAGATAACTTGAAGTAATATGGGGTCGAAAAGATCGAAGTGTCAATAATTTTGTCGCCGATTGTAGGATAATTATTAGCGTAGTACAGATGTATAATAATTAGCTTAGTCCAGCCTATTAAAAACTATTAGAATAAGCTTAATTCTCTGGAGGCTTCAAGGCCTTCATTAAAAGGCGAAGTAGTCATGGGACGGAACCTCCACCTGCCAGAGCCAACCGAAGCCTCAAACCACGTGTGACGCCAAGTTCGGGCCACAGCGGTTGCAAACGAGTACTCGCACGATTGCACCATCACTGGTGCTACATAAGCATTATCTTAAGACTAATTATGTTTTATTTATTTCTTCAGATGGACTGGACACTAAGTTTATCACCGGCTCACGTGTCTGTAGTGTTCCAGGAAATGGTGGCCGCCCCTGTGACGTGGGTTTGAGATGTAAAAATAACCAATCCGTCTGGAGAGGACCAAATAAAGGAATTACTACATTTGATAATATCTTTCTATCTATGTTGACGGTATTTCAGTGTATTACAATGGAAGGATGGACTGATATTATGTATCATGTAAGTAGATTTAACACATCGATAGACTGTTTTCCGGCTTTCAGTGTTCTTAAGCGTATGAAAGAGAACCATTTGGGTAATTTGCATTACTAGAAAATACTTTTTCCCCAAAGAGGTTTTCGCAAGCCGTTAATAAACCCTCTTCGATGCATGTGACTGTCGCTCTCCTCCCGACTTCATAGATCACAACGCTCGATCTCCAGCGGGCCTCTTGTCACCAAGGGATAGACTCAGCGTAGGGGTAATCCACGTGATTGAAAATGTTTACACTGTAATAATATCCCAACCGAGAATATATGGGCAGATATATTCTCGGTTGAGAATATATCAAATGTTACTGGTAACACTGACATGTTACCAGTAACAAATGGTATACCACAGGGATCTGTTTAGGCCCTATTTTGTTCACTTTGTTCACTAATGATCTGCCCGCCGCCATTACCACGGGATCCCTGTTCATGTACGCGGATGATACGTCAATTTTCAGCATCGGAGAGTCTGCAGACGCAGCGATTGCTTCCTTGAACTGTGCTTTGTAAGAGGTCTACAAGTGGTGCCTAGAGAATCGCTTAACACCTCACCCGGCTAAGAGCGAAGTCATGTTAATTAGTACACCAACCATTATAGGACCGCTTCCTCCAATATTTTTGGGTAAATCTGTTTTAGGCTATGTCAAAAAATCACGGCTTCTTGGAATGATTGTAGATGACAAGCTTACCTGGATACCGCATATGCTAGAACTAAAGAAAAACTTTGCGAACAAAATAGACTTATTGAAGCGCTCAAGGTTCTTTCCCAAAAATGTCCTTTTATTTTAGTTTAATATTACCTTCTCTGAAGTATGGTATTATATTATGGGGTTCGTGTACAAACTTAGATCTTCTGTACTCAATTGAGAAACTTCACTGTAGAGCAGCAAAAATTGTCTACAGCTTATCCAAAGATACGGAGTCTAATGTAGCTCTCGACGTTTCAGGATGGGATACGATCAATTTAGAATACAAATTTCAAATAGTTAACCTTTTTTATAGAGCAAGTAAAGTCTCACTACTTCAGTCTCTAATTAATAGCATATTCATAAGGCGGGAACGTAGCTATTCACTAAGAGACCAAGAAGCAATAACCACATCTAGATTAAACACTAGATTGTTAAAGGACTCTTTAGCATACAGAGGTTCGGTGCTATGGAGCTATGAAAACCATCAAGTCAAAAAAGTAGGTAGTTTCGCCCTTAAGAATCTCAGGAGGCTACTCAGGAGAAACAATTACTTCACAAGCTTTACTTTTACTAGTTTATCAGGTTCGACGGCTTGGAATAGATTAACTGATTACGAGTATTTTTAAGTTGAGAGGAAATTGAATGTTTTATTGTATTATAGTTTCTTATTTAGTTTGAAATGTGTCTTAGTATAATCATAAGTTGGCTAGATACTATTTTGTTAAGTACACGACCCCACAAGCTTTTTAGCTGTAATTCTTATCGTGTATAAATAAAGATTCTACTACTACTACCACTACTACATCCATTTTCAGAAAATCTAGGATGATTTTGTTGATTTCCATTATTAATTTGCCGGATAATGAAATCCTCCTGTTACAAGAATTTAGCTTTTAATCTTTTCTTTTATGTATTGCAGAGTTACGATGCAAGAGATTATCACACACGTGTGATCACATCAATAATTTATATATCATTAATTATCATTGGTTCTTTCTTCATGCTTAACTTAGTTCTTGGTGTTTTGAGTGGGTAAGTATGTTCAAGTATATGATTAACGACAACAGTAGCACTGTGCGTAAAAATTTCGATTAAACTGACCCCAACCGGCTTACACATGGCTTGCAGACATAGCCTCAAGTTGAAAAGACTCTCTGTTCTAAAAATATCTCTCAAAATATGAAGTAATTATGCCATTGTCTGATATTTTTTCCAGTGAGTTCGCAAAAGAAAGAGAAAGAGCTGAAAATCGACGAACATTTTTCAAGTATCGTAGTCGAGAAAAAATAGAAAGACAAGTCACTGCGTACACAGATTGGATAGGAAGGGCAGGTTAGAATTTTTCCATTGTGTTTGTTACCAAAAAGCGGAAAAAGTCACATTTCTGCATGACACCAAGATAGGACGCACAGAGCGTCAATTGTAACTCTCTGAAAGGAATGCAATAACAACCTTATGGAAATAAACAGTGCCAAACCAGTTAAGTAACGATCGGAGATATTTGAGGGCTTTTCATCACCCGTGCAGTAGTCGTAAGTCAGTAAAGGCTAAGAGTGCTCAAGCTGATCGAGCTTTGTCAGGGTTTCACTTTGAAATTACATGGTGATCGAAATAAATTATGGTTTCGACTGAAAGAGAAGTAAGTTCTACCGTTATCAAAAGGCGTTAAAAGATTTAGGGGCAAAGTGGTTAAGGTGGGGGCGAGTTTATTTTACTACAGGGTGGCGAACTAGAGAGGCGGGAAGGAGGGGAAGTTCAATGAGGCCAAACATCCAGATCTCTTTTGAGAAAATGTCAAACTAAAATATTTGTGAAATGAACAGGCGGGATGACATCTATCATTTATTATGGACCTGTATTTACCTTTTTTTACAGAGGATATTATTTTGCGAGAAGAAAGAGAGAGACACGGAGTAGGAGGAGGTAAGCAGTATTCCAAACAGTTTCTTTTTAATATAATAATTTTCAAAGTCATGTTAGAGAAATGGGACAGTTATGTTGCAGCTTTTTCAATATATTAGAAATAGCCAAACAATCATTTTACACTTACGAGCATTGTTTATTGGATTGTTATAGTCTGCTCTGCGTCTACTAAACCATAGATGTAAAGTTATGAAAACAACAACAACAACAACAACAACAAATCTATGACTACGTGCTGGTTTCTTTCGCCGTTTGAGTTTGCTTCACTGTCATATGTCATACACTATGCTGAAAAAATCTTTTCCATACGAAAACTACAATCAATTGATTCTCCCTGACCTGAATCGGGTCAATCTTTCTCTACATTCAGGTGGTCCACGCGATCCGCTGAAGAAGCGTTACAGTTTGTCGGACTCCATCATGCATTTGATAGAAGATCATGGAGAAATGGTCAAGTATCTCAGAAATAAATCAGAAAACTGGTCTGAAAGGTACGGATACCGTTACGAGCCGCACAGACAAACAATTAAAGGGACAAATTGAACTTGGGAGGTTAAAGAAAGAGAGGAATGATCTTATTGCATACTACTAGGAGTTTAAAAGTTTTTTAACTTTTTTGATTTAGTCTTTCCGTTTAATTGAAGCTCCAGCACAATGCGGAAACTCAAGAAGAAGGAAAAGCTATTCCGCATTCACGTCCGTCAAATGGTCAAAAGTCAAGTTTTCTATTGGTCAGTTATTGTCTGTGTTTTCCTCAACACTGTGCTCATGTCTGTTGAACACCACGGGCAACCTGATTGGTTGGAGAGATTTCAAGGTGGGTGAAATATGACATGTTATGTACTTACTGACTGAGTAGGATGGCCGGAGGGGAAAATATTTGGCTCTACGTACGATTATGTCCTACGTACCGAGCGCTGTGATTTCCGTGCCTCACGACTAAAAGCTAAATATTATCCCGTCCGACCCGAGTTCTCTCATATTTATCATATCAGCACTGCTTTCTCTCTCTCTCTCTCTCTCTCTCTCTCTCTCTCTCTCTCTCTCTCTCTCTTTCTCTCTCTCTCTTTCTCTCTCTTTTTGTTCCTCTCTTCGTTTAGCTCGTACATCGCCAGAATTAAAAATTTCGAAACTGAGCTCTGCCAGAATAAATTGAAAAGAATAGATTGAAAATTTTTAGTGCGATGGCCCAACATAGAAAAATGTTATTCGTTTTGCAACGAGCGTGTGAAAAATTATATCTCAACCCCTGCAAGGAAAGGTCACCATTCCTCTTGTTCTATATATTAACTTGTTTAGAATATATTAGGGACTCCTTCTCGGTCAATTAGAACTGAAAAAAGGGACACTCCAATAACATGAAAGACACTCTTCGTTAGGAAATTTTACTATTCCTCTGTGATAAGTTTAGGAAACTCACTCTTAACTCTTGACCTATTAGATACGAAACTAAAATCAGTGCTGCTTCAAATCAAGTCAAAGTCAAAATAAAATCTCCAAATCGAACGTGCTTCACCAAGTTTGCTTCATTTACTCTGTGATCTTTGGCCCCCCTGCTAATTTTTCATTGGTTCTAATCAAAGTTTTTGGTGACCCATAATGATTAGTTTGGTTTTTGTCTTTGTTCACTCATTCCAAACCTCCGTTCTACATCCCGTCAGTTCATTTGTTATTTCATACATGGTTATCAGTGTGTTTTGGTCTTTCCAGCGATTTCAGAGTACGTTTTCCTCAGCATATTTATAGTCGAGATGTTGTTGAAAATGTACGGCCTGGGGCCCAGAGTTTACTTCAAGTCAGCGTTCAATAGATTTGATTGTGCGGTAAGTTAGAAAAGTCCATTCAATAACTAATCCTAAAAAATAGAAAATGCGTTACTTTACTATACTCGAAGATAACCCAATTTATTTTTTCTCGGGGTGTTTGGACACGTATTTTTAGCGAGATCATGAGAGAGACGCCGCTAAGCTAAAAGTAGGCGCACAGGACTGTGGATTGAGAGGTCTTAGCTCGAGGTTTGCAGTGTAACTGCGTTGTGCCTGAAATTGAAATAACTGAATCTCGTTTTCCTCTTCTCTTTTCCTTAGGTTGTTCTTGGAGGAATAGTGGAGATAGTCGTGCAAAATTTTACAAATTATAGCTTTGGTATCAGTGTTCTGCGAAGTCTTCGTCTTCTTAGAATTTTCAAATTTACAAGGTGAGCTGAAATTCGTGTTACTTTCACATTTGACTGAATTATGTGTACATCAACTATTTCAGTATCCTACTTGTATATCAAACAAAAACCATACTGGTAGACTGGAAGTCAAACAAGTGACGCAGACAATTCTTTCTCGGCGTGTAGTGATCAAGGTATCAACTCCTTAAGAATTTTGACACCGTTACGCAGAACCGAAAATGATAATCCAAAAGTATTATTTTACCTGGTTAAAACTCTGAATTCTCATGAATATCAGACAAAGAAATGCTTGGACATCAAAGGAGAGAATCAGCATTCAGCTGTTGAGGGTGAAAAAGTGAGCCATAAGTTGTTAGCAAAATTAAAGCAATCATAGGCTGAGGGCTAGGTGGCTAGTCGGTAATTTACCTCACCGCCTAAACCAAGCGCAATTTCTTCACCTGCATTTTTGTGTGCTGACAGAATTTTCTTGTTTCATCTTAAGATTTCGTTCCTTCTTTGGTTTCACTTGACTAGGTTAGATCTGAAGGTACTGTTCTTTTGCATGACAAGTTGTTAAATAACTTTTTTTCTCGTTGCAGGTTTTGGGCATCCCTGCGTAACTTTGTGACTTCTCTACTTAACAGCATGCGATCAATCCTCAGTCTCATCTTCCTTCTTCTCCTGTTCATCTTCATATTCGCTCTTCTTGGAATGCAGCTCTTTGGAGGAAAGTGAGTAAAATAAGAAAGAAAAGTGGTACATTTCGAGCTCAAATATTTCAACATTTTGCAACGAGTGTAAGACAAAGAAAAAAATCTAAGTCTTCCGCGTATCAAGAAAAGTGGCTCAACTTTGATAACAATAGGCTTTATTAGACAAGCGAAAAATGACCCAATATGGCCATTTTTGAACAATGGCGCAACAGCTTCAGAACACACGAGGGATTTTTCGAAGCTTCCGATTAGCATACGAGCGGGAAATTTAAACGCTCGGAAAGACTAGACTTTAGTTTAGAACTATGACGACTTTAGTTTAGAACTATGACAGTTTCTGGAGAAAGATTTATACGGAGAGAGGTGGTCTGAATGAGACACAACGTATTTTGAATTCTCGATTTGTGCATTGCCGCATTAGCGATCAATTTTTTTCTTGGGGTAGACCATTAAGAGTTGACTCGACGAGACAAATTTACGCTACCCACTTCCCCGAAGCGGCTAAATCAGCGTTTAATTTTCCCTTGGGGTACTCCGGTGACAATTTATCTGTCGTGTGCAAATATGCGCTACCTACTCTTCCAAAATAGCTAAATTGTGATGCCAAAAATTTTTTTCCGGTTAGTCACGAACTTTTTCGCGTCGCTTCGGCCAAAGTCCCTCCGCGCTACAAAGAACAAAAGGACTATTGTTTACTACTTAATGTGTGAAGTTGAGCCGGAACAATAGACCATTACTTGATACGCGTGAAGATTCCACACCCTTCAGTTCCTATCTCGCGATCTGACACTCGATTTACTGAAAACAGCAGGGATCCTGACCAAAGATACTTGTTTGATGAGGTAGACCACTGCTGATCCTGACGGCATCGTGAACGCAAGTTAAGAATGAATCTTGGTCGGTAACTTGGTGGGAAGGACATCCGACGGGAGGGACTGAGGGCTAAGACTTACGCACAATCGATACCAACGGCTCCAAGAGATATGAGCCCACGCATGGAGACGGAATTTGAATGAACAGCCAAATTGAGCCCAGTCCTTTCGCAGAACTCATTTTCTCTACGTCCCTTTCTGAGTCTAAACTCTGAACATACAAATGAGTAACAGCTAATGTGGTAGTTAAGGGACGCACCCAGGCTCAGTGGGTTATACATACACATTATTGAGCATCCCTGAAAAGGGCTTTCAGCATCAATATTAAAAATGGTTAAAAACTAAATAAAGAACTTAATAACTATATACTTTCACATTACTTATATATTACTTAATAACTATATGCAAACAACAATTATCATCAAAGATCGTTCATGTTACAAATCAGTTCATTAATTAAACGTCTTTTAAAGACCTTAGTACTCGTGATTTGCCTTAAATCTTTACTTAAATTATTCCATACTTTTACGCCACGATAATAAAAGGCGCGTTGGCCAGCATTGATTCTACTAGATGGAATATTTAAACTATCTCTATAGTTTCCTGTTTTATTAACATGATAACGTAATGTTACTGCGAGCAGCATTTTTGATTGACAGGTTTTGACGGGAAATGTTTTAATCGACAGGTTCAGTGAACGTCTTGAAGCTCCGCGTACCAACTTTGACAATTTCTTGAAAGCTATGTTAGCGGTTTTCCAGGTTCGTATCCTGGCATGCATAGTTGATGTTTATTCAACATTATAAAACTGAACATTATATAATATTCACTTAACTCAATTTTCTCTTTTTCATTATTTCAGATTATGACGGGAGAGGATTGGAATACCGTAATGAATGATGGGATAGTTGCATCAGGAGGCCCACATAATATCTGGGGAATATTGTCATCTTTGTATTTTGTTTCTCTCGTTATACTTGGGAATTGTATCCTTAATAGTACGCATCAATATGCATAGTAATCAAATGATTTCTATTGTTATCCCAATAAAAAACCAACCCTCTAAAATACTTTTCGACCAGGAATTCAATAGTCGCAGAAACTCTCTGTGGATGAGCCATTCCTAAGTTTCTTTCAATCATTCGCATTTGACTGAGAACCCCCATCAAGCCGTAAATGTCAAACACCAAGCAGTTTGACAAGACCTTCTCCATGTATCCGACTTCATTGACATGCAAAACTACTTTCCCTAACCAAGATTCTATGCTCAGACACGCTGCTTAACGTGTTTTTGGCCATAGCCGTGGATAACTTAGCAAACGCTCAGGCAGTGACGCAAGATGAAAAAGAAGAACAACTACAGCCGGAGGCTATGAGAAAGAAACGAATGGAAAAACGTAGAGATGGATGGGCCAAGGCGCGCACGATTCCCGTCCTCATAGGATTAGGAAAAATCAATCATAATAAGAACGACAACGACAATGACAATCCGTTTCGTAACATGAAGCCAGTATATCCACCTTTGGATCATGTTTCTCCAAGGTAAGCAATGCTCACTAACAAGCCTTTAATTAAAAAATGCAAAATCTATGATGCTTCCCTCTACGCATGCGTATAGATGTAGCATTGGTAAGAGTGTCATTGTCAAAGGAAAGCAATACCACCTTTTGAATGTTCTACTGATCCCCCCTTCACTCCGGTCTGGCTTGATTTGAGTAACTAACGCAGTCTCGGGCCTTATTTTATTCAACACTTGAACTCCTCTGTGGTCACAGGGAAACTGCATCAGATGGCAGCTATGCCAGTCTTGTTCGCCGGGGTGCCTTGGATGTCATGCAACACTTCTCTTAAGAGCGGTTGGGAGGAGGAACCATTTTATCTTTCTTTTTTTTTGCTTCCGCGATTTTGAAAAGCATCGTTTTTGATTGTAAACGCTGTGCTTCTAATGGCGGCGCGCAATGCTCCGTTTTGGCGAGAATGTAAATTTACCTGGACAGGGCCATTTTGATTAGTACGTTTCGATAGTTGTGACATGCCGGGGACGACTTTCACAACTAGTCTTTATGATCCATAAAAGTTTATTGTGATAACATAGCAACATGATAATTCTTTATCCAGTTTCTTGATGCCTTACCAAATTTCCTTTTCAGAGGCGCCCGATGGAACAAGAAGTCTGCGTTAAGGGTGAGGCTGCGTTGTTTTGATTAGTTTTGTTGAAATACAGCTTCATAAAAGGCAACAAATATAAGACTACATTTATTTCTTTGTATCGTTTTCTACATTTGCTTCTCCAGGTCAAGATTTCTCAGGATGCGAACGGCTACCTTGAAGCAAACGGAAAATTCCTAAATGGAAACTCAAGGGAAGGAGGAAATACCGACAGGGAAGAAGAAGGAGATATGGCAGGTGAGGAAAAGAATACAATACACCTTATTATTACGGCTCTCCTATACGAGGCTATTCTGTCGTTAAATACAATGATAGCAAATATACGATAATAAATTACGATGGGCAAAAAATATTTACATGTGTTGTGAGTTCATATACAGGTTGAAAGATGTGTTTCGATCCATTTAAGAAGAGTTTCTAAGAAAGTGGGCGACTTTCCTCTTAAAATTTGAGTTATTGTTTATGCACCGAATGTTTTATGGGAGAAGGTTGTATCCTTTTGCCCTGCGAAGGGTGAAAGAGCGTTGACCAGTTGATAATCTGCCGTTAGGTAGATTTAATTGTGACATATTTATAGTGTTGCGTCCCGGCATACTACATTTGTCATGGAATAAATCGCAAATATAAGGTGGTGTCTGCTTTTTTCTACACTTATGGACTATAGTAACAGTATTTGATAGAAGTTTTTGACTGACGCTTAGCCAACCAATTGATTTGCGCGCAGCAGAGACATAATCAAATTTTTTGATACCTAGGATTATTCTGCAAGCGAAGTTTTGAATGAGCTGGAACTTAGAATTTTTGCTGGAGGTATTACCCCATACGGTAGAACAATAGAAAAGCCTGGTGAAAATAAGAGCATTGATAAGTAAATTAAGAGTTTTATTGTCCACCCAGAGTTGGGTGGGCTCGGTTGGATGCAGGAATTTTCCATAGAAGAGGGGGGAGGGGAATTTAATCAACAAACCATAACTTTTTTAATTTTTCTTTTGTGTATTTAGTGATTGGGTTTGTTTTCTGTTCGTTTTGCTTTTGTTGTTGTTGTTGCTGTTGTTGTTTTATTTACCTAGTGCCAAATATGCCACTTCAAGATGACTACATTTTCAAAACCTCAAGTTGAGAAGTTATATTCAATCCTGTCGTTTTAAAATTTTTTGGTTTCAGACGAATAATAAAATTCCCCACAATACTGGCAGTTGCAGCTCGAGGAATCCTTTCCCCGGATCTAGCACTGTCGGACCTGTGCGAGGAAAGATCCTCTGCAGTATCGATAATGAAGTACATTGAGGGAGAAATAAATTCATGGCTATATTTGGTACCTCCTTTCAAATCTGGGCTAATGTAAATAAATAATGATAAATCATGCCTTTATGATGGAGAGCATAGGAGCTAGGTAAGGGAAGGTCCAGATAAGTGGCAGAAAGGAGGGTTTGAACTTTGGACCCTAAAATGTCAAATGAAGCGTTTCACGCCGCTTGGAAACCCTTTAATTTCCCTGTCAAAGAGGAAGCATGAAGACATAAAAATCGTGTGGTATCTTTCAGATCAAACTGTGCCTCGCAAAACAATGCTCAGCTTGCGTGATGCGGGACGAATTATACGAAGACGTAATGTGCATAAGAATGTGCCAATCATACGAAAGAGTTCCATGTTTATTTTTGGTCCTGATAATCCGTAAGTACCGTACAAACAATCCACTTTAGTTATCATGTTTTATTGTCAAAGGAAATGCAAGTGATGAGAGTGACTTGCTTTCACTCCTCTTCTTTCCTGGGAGGTGATCTGTCAAGTAGTTAAAGTATAAAACAACGAAGGTGAAATGTAATTTTTTGAAAACGAATAGCGCAAAATAATAAGTCTAAACACCCTTCATAAAGATCGAAAACAAGAGAGGATGAGATACACTTTCTTGCAGAAACCACTTATTACATAAACTTACATTAAGTAGGCGCCACTGTGAAGAGACAACTCCGCATCTACTCAAAGAATCAAGTTTCAGGACGTTAGATATTGATATTTCACCTTTTTCTAATGAATTTCAGTATTCGCCAGGCTTGTCACTGGGTAGTTAATCTCCGATATTTCGATGACTTCATTCTGGTAGTCATTTTGCTCAGCAGCATATTATTAGCAGTGGAAGATCCAGTCAACCCGGAAGCACGGAGAAATAAGGTGTGTAAGTCACGTGATAGTCTTTGAGTATCCGCCGACTTTCAGACGGAAGCTATTGCTATCTGCAACGTAAGGCTCCATCGTATTTTACTAAACCAATCTACATTTTATTTTGACAGGTGATCCGATATTTTGACTATGGTATCACTGGAATTTTCGCTTTAGAAGTTCTCGTTAAGGTAATGAAAGTCAAACATGAAACCCAAAGCGATGAAAGAAATTCATGTAGATTACCCATAAGGAACTATGTCGCAAAATGTATCTTAAGAACAGCGGGATTATCGCTTTTCAAATCCTCTACCATCTCTGTGAAGATCAAATGATAAAAACAAAGTGAGTTGATATCTAAAGGGGGTAAGTTTCTAAAGAAACTGTAATGCTGTCGTTAGGGGCTATTGCATAATAAAGAAACTGTAATGCTGTCGTTAGGGGCTATTGCATAATAAAGAAACTGTAATGCTGTCGTTAGGGGCTATTGCATAATAAAGAAACTGTAATGCTGTCGTTAGGGGCTATTGCATAATAAGTTGTTTTCATCAACCAAGTTGATAGTGTGAGTCGGCAACAATAAAGAGATTCGCCAGGTTACAACAAATTTTGGGGACCAGCGGTCCATTCACGTGGTGGGGTTCAATCCCCTCGCTTCAACATACATATTTCAGTATTCACGCGAAAAGTTTCGTTACTGTTAGCGAGTTTGGCGTTGTATGATTTTAAGCTTTGTCTCGCGTTCCTTTAACGATCCAAATAGCCAGGTACATTTTAAGTTTTCATTTTGCCGGGTTTATTTCGTTTGTTGACATTTATTTTCGGTGGTTAGATTTAGTGTAACTTAATTTTGTTATAGAAACCACTGGTCAAGAAATAAATGTACAGGTATGGTTCGGGTAGCCATTGAGTAATGTTACCGGTGCCGTGACGTCACAGATTCCAAGGCTGGCCTTTCGAGCGTTAACCCCCTTCGTCAGAGTGAATGAAATGAATTGCTAGAGTAAATTTCTATCTTCATTTTATTCATGTTTGACGGATCAATCTTTGAGTTATAAGGGAGTAATTTTCTAAAGCTACTTTAGTTTTATCAACTGAGTTGATAACGTAAACATTGGCAAATTTACATTCTCTTTATGTTATAAGGCCGACTATTTCCTTTCTTTTCCCAGATGATTGACCTTGGAGTCATTCTTCACAAAGGATCTTACTTGAGGAGCGGCTGGAATATAATTGATGCCTTTGTTGTGGCCTGCAACATCGCGGCCTTGCTGTTGGAGTAAGCATTTACCTACCTCTTTATGATTAAATTCGATATCAGTGGAGTACTACAACCTCATCTTGAACTCATGCATGAGCTTTGCCCTGCTGCTTTCAAACCTTAAAGTGGTCGTTATTGAGAGAGAGCGAGAGAGTTTTATGGGTATCGCTGGCGGTCCCGAAATTCTTAGTAAAAGCCTCCGGTACGTCCCATTCCTTATTTTATGATTAAAGGGAAGCCTTCCACTGTGCTTTGTACAGCCTTATCATAAATGCTGTGGTAAATCGTTTTTGTCCTCAGCATTAGAGGCAGTGGTGAGGATAACTTACAAAAGGACGCTATCAAATCTTTTCGTGTTTTGCGAGTGCTCAGACCCTTAAAGGCCATCAACAAGTCAAAGAAACTTAAGGTTGGTTTTTTTCTTTTCTTCTTCTTATTGCTTTATTAAGTGATCCATCCACGACTTACAAGAGAGAATTATTATTTTCGTTTTTGTTTCAAATACGGTCAGTACGGTTAAGAAAAAACTTTACCAGTAACTGCATTGCAGTTGATAAAAAGGGCGAGGTATGAGGCCTGACTTCAAATATTTACTACAATTTCCAGGCTGTTTTTGAGTGTATGATGTACTCGCTAAAGAATGTCCGCAATATTCTCCTCATCACATTACTGTTTTACTTCATTTTCGCTGTGGTTGGCGTTCAACTATTTAAGGTGAGGTTTATCAAACAAACTCGTATACTTTCTTTTACCTAGACTTATCACATTTGTAATTTCTTATAAATTTCTCCTTTCATTTTAACGTCTACACTGAATTTCAAACCAAGAACCTAAAATAGTAATGGTATTATTGCTAATTAGTTCCTTTCTTGAGCTATAGTTGGATCAAATGTAATTAGGGAAAGCCCTGGGTTTATAAGAACAAACAAGCGCATAAGAATAGTTTTTCAATAAACGTTTCTGACGTGAAACCCATGAGGCATCTGTCCATTCCCCTGCGAAACGTAAACAAATCAGGACACATGCGTAGAACTCCCTTCACCATTGTTCCCGGGGCGCCTGAGGTCGATTCTAAAACATAGTTGAGAGGAACCATCTTTGAACTAGGGCCCACTGGGCCCATAGAAGGTATTAAGTATCCTCGTTTGGTCTCCTCTTGGTTCAAAGTGTGCGAGTGTATGACTTTGCTGTTCCTTTAGGGGAAGTTCTGGTACTGCAATGATCGCTCTAAGATGACACGTGAAACTTGTCGGTGAGTATTTGCCTTTTTGTTATCGTTACACCTCCTGCTTAAAGTTACTTAAGTTAATAACACAACGTAAACTACTCCAAAGATTTATCAAAGTACAATTCTTGAATTTTTGGATCTATTTTGTTAAAGATCTTTTCGCACACTGCCATTATTCCTTCTACAAAGGTCGTTTCACCATTTTTTTGTTCCTTATCTCTCCCCTCGTTGCCTTTCAACAGTCGCACGCAAGTCGAGCCTTGCGGCGTTTAGCGTTTTTGAAGTTATTTGCAATGCAATAGTATTTAAAATACTTTAGTTTAGATGTTTGATGAATGTTTCGTTGGTTTTTTTAATTCTCGGAGTAATTAGCTTTACCTTGAATGCTTAATTTGTTTCTTTGCAGCGGATCCTATTTCAAGTACAATCTGGGCCTGAACAGTAACATTGATCTGGAAAAATTCAAGGTAATTTATCCAAATAACGACATTATTTCAGGCTCTACCAATCTGTTTTTGTCAACAAAAGACATTCGTGGGTACCTGAGAAAGTTTCTTAAAAAATTTTATGAACAAGCTGAAAGAAACTGTTTTGTTAGATCGGTAAGTACGTCAAAAACCTAGCGGTTCATTATCAACTTGATTTCATTGGATTCATGCAGACCACCATTCCAAAATCGGTGGCCGGGCGCAGGGAGATGTTAGCTTTCCATAGGGCAAAGAGGTTACTTAATCCAAATACCATGTATCTTTCACTGTTGTCTTATGTCTGACTTGCTCTTTTCTTCGATCTAAAGGAGCAATGGTCATTCGCACCTTACTTTAAGCCGAGGCTTAGAACTGTTCATGTACGTATACTTTTTATCATGCAGGTTACACAGAGAAACTGGACGAAACACAAGTTTCACTTTGACAACGTACCCAACGCTATGTTGGCTCTGTTTTCTTCCTCCACCGGGGAGGGGTGGCCTCAGTAAGTTGCTTTTCTTAGAGAGTTTCTTGTATTTCTATCAAGTAACTCGATCGCTCGCATCATATGTTAAACCATCGAGTAAGTTGTAACAATAGATAAAAAACATTAAAATTTGAATAAAGTTGATTAAATGACTGCTCGAAATGAGGAATAGGTAGAGGGAGAAGAAGAAACAGACCCTCTAATTCAATTAGATTTACATAATATTCAGTTGTTCAAAGGGCGAATAGCCAAAGGATAAATCGCATTCCAGCAGATAAAAGTTAGCAAAACGTACTGACAGCACTACACCGGAATATGATCTAACTAGTGAATAGCATTATCCACCCCTCGAGCAACCGGGGTTTTCTTTCTCTTTCCAGGGGCATGCATAACACTATTGACGCGACCAAGGAGGATCACGGACCAATCAAAGACTATCAGATACAAATGTCCCTGTACTATGTCTGCTTCGTTGTCGTTTTTTCTTTCTTCTTCTTGAATATGTTCGTAGCTTTGATTATCGTCACTTTCCAAGAACAAGGAGAGAAGGAGATGGACGGCTGTGAGCTCGATAGGAATCAGGTAATCGCTTAAGTATTCGATTTTAGACCCTGGTGTCCAATACTAGACTCTAATATCCGATTTTAGACACGAATGTCCGATTTCGGACACTAGCGTCCGATTTTAGACATCACAGTCCGATTTTGAATACTTGTTTGATCTTAGACTTTACTATGTGATTTTTGGACACTAGTGTCCGAGTTTGTACACTAGCGTCCGATTTCAGACAAAAGTGCTCGATTTCAGACACTAGAATCCGATTTAGACATTAGTCCGATTTTAGGAACTATTGTGCCTTATATGAAACTCATGTCCAATTTTGGATACTCTTGTCCTATCATAGACACCACTAGTACTGATCCTTTTTATCGTTAAGTGTAAAAGGGTGGGTTTTTTTTTAAGAAGTTCTTCTTTCGTGCGAAGTGTCAGAGCGACTTTCCTGATGATTCTTTTATCTATTTCACTTTCCAGCGAGACTGCATTCAGTTTGCAATGACAGCTAAACCAAGACAACGCTACATGCCAGAAAACAAAAACACGTGTTTTTATAAAGTATGGAAAGTTGTGGATTCCAAACCATTTGAGATCCTGATCATGGCAACGATTGTCCTCAACGCAATAGTTCTTATGGTCTCGGTAAGAGATTCATAACAAATGAGCAGATATGTCCACAGTTCTATATATTCCTTCAGTGTGACAAAGTTTTATTAACGTTATTCTTTCTGGATTGGTAGTTGAAAAATGTAACCTCTTAATGTATCACCGAACTTTCAAAAATTTCTTAGTTCTTCTGTAGGACTTGGAGGGGGAATTGCTACAAAAGCACCTTAAAAGCATTTGGAGACGTGTACCCTGCGTTACAAGCTCTAATAAAATGAAATTGGCGGACAATAACAAAAGAAGAGGACCTGCGAATTCGCCGCGCGCTGATTTTCGCAGCCCCGATGATAGTCCCGGATTCAAGCCCTCCACCTTGCTACTAACCCTTGGCTACACTTTGAAAATAGTCAACGGGTCTGCCTCCGGCCAGTTGGGATCTTTAAACACTATGTTTAGTTAGAATGCCTTTTATTTACAGTTCGTTTGTATTGACCCTGAAAAGCCGCATTGGGGAAGTGGTTAATAAACATTATTAGTATAATTTCAGAGCTGAGCAAAGAGTTTCCAGCAATCTGATTGGTTGAGCGGTTCCTTATATGACATCATATAAACCGCTCCACGCAGTTTATATAAAATGTTAAAATAAAATGTTAATAAATGTTACTAAAATGTTATGATTATAGACATTTCTCTGTTATTCAGCTCTGAAATTATACTAAAACAATTATTCGCCTTAGGTTCGGTGAATATTGTTGAATGATCTCCCCTCGACTTCGTCTCAGGGATTATTTGACGATATTCATCTCGTCTTCTGTGAATAATTATTAATCATTATTTGCTACACAAACTAAAAGGCATTTTAGGTTGTTTTTTTACAGTTATTTTCTTTCTTGACGAAGAAGGAGGTGGGGATCAAATGCACCTGTGGACGATCCCTTCGCCACGCCCATAAATTTCTACCACACTTATTTCTTTGACTTGTGCATCTCTCTGCAGTATGATGGCGAGAGTTCTGAATATGAGAAGGTCCTCGACTACTTGAACTACGCATTTACATTTGTATTCTTGATTGAGGCCGTTTTGAAGTTAATAGCATTCAGACAGGTGAGAATGGCTCACTAAGAACCCTCCTTCGTTGCGTTTTGCTTCCTAAAGGAAGTTGAGGTTATGAACAGCGCTGTGTTTCCTTCTTGTGTAACGATAGACAAATATGTGCAGTTAATGGTTTGAACGTCAGTCACCACCACCAACATCAGTCCTTCTCAGGACTATACTCACCCAGACGATTGCACTACACTTTCACAAATTTATACAACACTTCACCATACATTCCGCACGTCTTCCTTTCTCCATACACTGTCCGGATTATTCTGGTTTCCTCTTAGCTAGCCGAGTTCGAAGTTCAGAGTGTATTGACTGGATCGAGTTTTTTCCAATTGGATTTATGGCCTACGTACGAAGTGCACGAGCAATAAATCCAAGCAGAAAAAACGAGAATCCGTAACTTACAGTATGAACTGAGAAAACGAGGCTAGTACGATACTTAATATATATCTGGATTCAAATAGAGGAGAAATAAATTCTGTAATTTGCAAAAAGATTTTTTAATTTGGTACAGTGAAATACAGCCCTTTAAATTGACAAACATAACTGGGAGATATAATAGCAAAGAGATGTTTGAATCTTTAAAATTACTCGGAGAAAGAGAAACTTTTGGCTAAATCTTTTGTGTGACGTCGTATCTCTTTCAGTTAAATACGCTTAATACTCATTTTTGATCATTTTCAGAATTACTTCCGTGATTTCTGGAATGTGTTTGACTTCATCATTGGGGTTACAACTTCAGTTGGAATGATCCTAGAGTTCACCAAGGTAAGTATGAACTCATTGAGTTCATTCATTCATTTTTATTCATCAATTGATCCTATCTCGTCTATTATGTAATTTCAAATCAAATTATCAGAGTAACACAAAGTTCATGTTAGTCTCATTGTTACAATATTTGCATGAAACGTAAATATTTTCCACCAGCGTATATTTACTTTTTCTTTTTACAAACACGTCCTGACAGAATATATCGTTTCGTTTTTGATTTTTCCACAAAAGTTGAAAGAGGAGAACGATGCACTGCCGATAGACCCAAGTTTTTTCAGACTATTTCGAGCTGCACGGTTGGTAAAACTACTCAGGCAAGGCTACACTATAAGGATTCTCCTGTGGACCTTCCTCCAGTCCTTCAAGGTAATTCAGCTGTGTCACTGATTTGATGCTCTCTGTACTTATTTTTAGCGCTCTTGTAAGTGCTTTTAGCACACTAATTAATAATTCATTATTTATGTAGCGCATGGTCCATAGGAAGATGCTCCCAAGCGCTTTACAACATGCAAGTAACCCACCATCCCACCCAGGGGAGAACATCCACCACAGTAATCTCGTGCGTGGGAAATTAACGTCTCCTACCCCTAACCTTGTAGGAGACAAGACCTACGGCTTTATTCGCCCTTATCCGAGAAGACTAGAATAGCTATCCGTTTCTTGATATTATAATAAGGTAGCAAATTCTCCTCAGTTATTTTAAGACCATGAGTATTGGTCCGGCCGGGGCTCGAACCCTCGACCTCCCGCACAACACAATCCAGCGCTCTGACCAATTGAGCTAACCTGGAGGTTAATATTATTAATTTTCAAAAGTCATTTAATTTCCTGTTTTTAGGCTCTTCCGTACGTGGTGATCTTGATCGGCATGTTATTTTTTGTCTATGCTGTCATTGGGATGCAGGTAAAGTTTATCATTATCCTTTATTACGTGATGAGTGATCAAACTGTGCACACAGAAAACATGAACTCTTGATCGCTCCTTGCGCTTGCATTCGTGTCTACGGGATCTCCTAGCGCTGATTTCTCCCTTTACTGCCACATACCTGCTAGCTTAGTGGAAGCGGCAAGCTAGTTTGAGAAAGATCACCCACATGGGAAATTCCTTCAGCTTTGAAGGAAGTAGTATCGGCTGCATGTGGCACATGCAAGATCAGTCCGTTATAGATCCTGTGCAGATTCGGTTGAATCTAACGAATAACATAAAAAACTAAACAAATTATGATTAGAAAATTCCATTCTTTCTCTTTTAGTTGTTTGGTAGAATTGATCTGAGCGAAAACTGGAGCAGGCAAATCAACCACCATAATAATTTCAGAAGTTTCCTCATGGCTCTTCAAGTTTTATTCAGGTTGGTAAAAAATTAATGCTTTAGACGAAAAGTATTCTAGACAAGGCGCTTAGAGTTGCTGACAGCTTTTCTGGGAAAAAAAGTGTTTATTCTCAATTTATTATCGCGCAATAGCCAGCACAAGAGCCATACGTCGGAGTACAGATACTGATGAGGGAGAGGGGTGGAATGTTTATAACTAAACCAAAAATGAGACAAGTCATTTGTACTTCGCTGGCATCCATGTTTTTATCGTTACAGAGCATCCACAGGCGAGAACTGGCATAAAATAATGTTAGATTGTTTTGACGATGCCCCGTGTGATTCTGATAAGAGCAAAACGTGCGGCAACACTGTTGCATCAGTAATCTACTTCTGCACGTTTTACTTCTTTTGCACATTTCTGGTAAGTACACTTAATAATCTTTAAAACAGAAACTTAACCAAGTAAGCCAATTTACTTTGCACGAACAAAGATCTTTTTAATATCTCAACCTTTAAGTCCTCGTGGCTTTGCCTCTAGATTCGCATAGGAGCAACAACATGCATCATTTCATTTATCTCAGTTGTTCCCTATAGGGTTCCATTAAGATATACAGTCTTATAGTTCACCACTAAATTTTCTCCGGTTCTTTTTGGTTTAAATCGATCACGTGACGCGATAGTGTTCATCCCTGGAGAGACACTATCAGCCCATAGTGCCCCCCTGCGGAAAATACCCGGATGGATAGTGCCCGTCCGCGGAAAATACTTGGATTGATAGTACTCATCCGTGAAAAGTTTTGAATAGTTTGACGGCCGCGTAGTTAGGCAGATCGGAAAAACAGTGACTTTTCAATTCTGACAGGTATAACGTATTAGCCAATATACGGTTGCGAATTATTGACATTTGTGACAAGCGGTTGGCGCGGAAGAAAATTTAGTGGTGAACAAAAAAAACAATAGAGTGTTTATGTCTCGGAACTATCGGTCTGATAGTTGCCCCTTGGAAATTTGATGTTCTTAAAACTAGCATATTTGCCCTCGAAGCTTCGCTTCTCGGGCGATTTGTTTTAAGAACATCAAATTTCCGCGGGGCAACTATCAGCCGTTAGTTCCTCGACAGAAACACTCTATTGTTTAAATAGTTGCACTCGATGTTTGAGTAGGCGGGATTGCGCTGAGCTAATAGAGATTATCTCCCAAAGTTGTGTCCCGCGGTTTTGATTCCCATAACTGGCAAGATTTGTGCGCTGAGTTTACTGTTGGTTCTCATTCCGTTTCCGAGAGCGTTTACGGTAGTTCTGAGGTTTTTCTCCATGACCAAAAACAATTCCAATTTAACCTGGAAAAAGCGGAGTAAGAACCATTCACTCAAACTCAGTCTTTTCATACACTTCAAATGTATTTTTTTTCCTTTGGTGGAAATTTTTTGCGCCTGTTTTTCTTTTGACTAAGAAGAAATCTCTTTATAATTTTCAGCTAACCATTTAACGTTATATGTCTTACTTCGGTGATTGTTTTGTATTTCAGATGTTAAATCTTTTTGTAGCCGTCATCATGGACAACTTCGAGTATCTGACACGAGACGAGTCAATTCTTGGCCCTCATCATCTAGATGAGTTTGTCAGAGTCTGGTCCGAGTACGATCCTGGTGCCACGTAAGGACATATAAGCCAATAGACCTCTCGATTTCGTCATTTTACGGCTCCGATTCAGACTACCATAAATAAAGCTAAACGTTTGTTCCTTGATCTCAGGGGACGGATACCACATACTGAGGTTTACCGCTTGATGTGTGACATGTCTCCCCCGGTCGGATTAGGACGGAAGTGTCCCAAGTTTATTGCATATAAGGTATTCGTTTCTCAAATTTCTCAGTGCAGATTTAACGGTTTAATTTTACTATTCGCGATAGAAATCTCAATTCAATGATTTAATTTTTGATTATTTACTTTTTGTGAACAAAGGATGAATTCGACGTTTTCGTCTGCAATTAATAAGTATAAGTTGATCTACATGGGATGTTTTATCGTTTCTCACAGCGCCTCATTAAGATGAACATGCCTATCATGGGGGACAACACAGTACTGTTCACATCGACCTTATTCGCACTGATAAGAACGGCTCTTGGAATATTTAGCACCGGGGACCCAGCGTACGCCGACAATGAATTGAGGAGAACAATAAAGCGACTTTGGCCAAAAACCTCCAAAAGGATCCTCGAAAAGATGATTCCTCTGCAATCAGGTTGGTAAACGGTCGTGATTTTTCATTATGGTTTTAACGACTTTGCAAAACTATGCTTCCACGAACGCAGCCAAGAAACAGTCAGATATCAATGTGACTTAGCTCTAAATGTGATTATGAAACCCCTTTTTTAGGGAGTGTTGAATAGGAAGCTTTCGTTCGAGTCGTTTTTCAGTAAAAGCTACATTTAGCAAGCACTGATGTTTTGGTCCCCTGTCTCGAAGCTAAGAGAAATTTCGTATTTTCCACTTAAAACGCTCATGATGAGATATCCTTAAAATAACTCAACAGAATATTCCGGAATAAAGAGAAGTTTCTAACACAGCTTATAAAAATAGTGATGTGGTAATTCAATGTTCTAAATTGTTCTCTCGAGTTTTGGAAACGTCGTTATACTCCACTTAAATTTCTTCTCGCCATTGTTAAAAAATACCACTGTGTTACACTTACAAGGACAATTTACAATCATTCTAATCCCGTCATTCGTTCTAATAAAAATCAAGCGGTATTTTATTCACTTGACGTATTTCTTGGTAATTTTTTTCCTTTAATGTAGTCTTGAGCTCCCAACAAATGACTATAGGAAAAATCTACTGCGCAAAATTGATTTACGAAAACTATAAACATATGAAAAAGAAGCGTCTGGAGAAAAAGAAAAAGGTGAGCGTAAAGTAAGGGTGTTATTTCACTTTGATTGCAGATGATGTGGAAGTAATTGTTATGATAATTCCTTCTATATCTCTCCGTCTCCTTGCTTTTCCGTATGTTTATCTGTCAATCAATCTCTTTGTTTTTGTTTGTTTGTTTCATTTTGTTGTTTTTGTAGTGAAGTTAGTCGGTTGCTACTTTCGAGAGTGTGAAGGTTTAAGCCTCAAACACAAAGCGAATCTGTAACACGAACAGAAGAACCGTATACCTTGCACTTTCCAATGCTTATTGACATAATGACCTCCATTTTTTACTGATGTACTCTAAGGAAGCAGTTTTCAGAAGGATATTTGTTTTCTCGCAGCGACGGCCCTCGTTGTTTCGTCGACTCGTCGGAGCTTTACGAAATGGTACCTCGTACTCTGACGACGAAGAAGCTCACATCGATACTCCTCCCGAACATTTGACCATCAGGAGGCGATCAAAGACATTAACATCTCTACCATCAATGTGAGTCACTTTGTCATCTGCTATAAGGGACAACAAACATAAAAAGCTTTTCGAGTGATAGTGGAGCTTTCCATTTTTCACAGGGATGAGGCTGATGTTATCTTTACCCAGAAAAAAAACGGTGCTCCACCTTCAGACTTAACGTTTCAAAAAGACTGTTGTCTATTGATTTTTATTAGCAAAAATTAGTACGCTCGCTATTTTGAATGAGCACATCTGCACGACAAGTTTATTGAAGTTTTCTGAAAGAATTGTTTTTTCATCTTTTTAATTTTGCAGAAGTAAAGAAAAACAAGAAGTGATAAATTCCAAGCGGCGGATGCATCGCTCTTTAAAGTTCTTCAGCCGGAGACCTTTTGGAAGATCAGATAGTTATAGTGAAGATGAAGATTTTCGGGGGATTAGCAGAGAAGTTCACTTTAAAGTAAACCATGGAGATACACCTAATTGCTATAAGGTTGTCATAGAAAAAGCAAAAAGCAAATTGCCAACTGAATACGAATTAGCTAGCCATGTGATTTACATTTGCGTATTTTAATAGTTTAACAATTATTTGAGAAGTCATTCACAATAACAAGACATAATTCTGTAATTCCGCGCTGTAAGATTCCGCACATGAAACACCGATGTGTGTAACGAAAGGGTTCAAAATTATTACTGCAGTCGAATTCTCACTCATAGCCAGAGTTTCTGAAATACCCTTCGCAGTTTTCTGGTGAAATTTGTGCAAAAGCATGCAAGATAAACGCATGGGGCTGAAGACAGCAACGGAAGGCAATGTCATTTTCCCGAATGAAGTGTTTGGCGTAGTGATAACTTCCCTCTATCAGATTAAAATCCTGGCTGTAAGGTGAAAGGTATCTGACCAAAGCTAATTAATTCCTATTTGGCATTTTGCTTTTTTCTGTGACAACCTTATTGCAATTGGGTGTATTGAATTAGAACAAAATCGACAAAGAACCTGTTGCTTTTTAATCTTAATTTTATATAAAACTTTTGCCTTCCTCCCCGCCCCCCGCATAAAATTTTATTTTAAAATCTGGAGGAAAAGTTATGCTTAAAATTTGGCTCTCATTTTTGCGTTTTTACCAAGCCCCTCTCTATAATAAGCCTCCCTCTAAAATAGACCCCTCTTTTTGTACCACACAGGACGCCCCAATGGACCTCACAGACATCAACCCAACCATTGTAAGTACAGACACAGAGGATGAAGACCACGTGGACGGCGCATGCCCGAAACTGAAAAGAAAGCCATCAAAGCTCAGCTTTAAAAATCCCGTGGTATGCGCCTTCCTTGTTGAATTCTTTGAGCTTTCAAATATTCAAGGAGCACTGTCAACGCAGATTAGTGGGCTCGGCCTTAAACAGTATTCGTGCATAAAAGTTTGAAAACGCAAGTAGATTTCTTTCTACCATTTGAAGAAATTTATTTCTGATAGCATCATAAAGGTAAGGTGCAACGACATTGCTCCTTTATTTATAAGTTAGCTCGGCCCAGCATTTCTTCAAATTGAGAAAAACACTGGTTTTTTTTCTCTGAATTACAAATGGAAAAGTACACGTCAACGTATCTTCTTTGTGGATGCATTCTGTCTTCTTTGGTATTGTGTTATTAAATCTCCTTTCAGCTAAAAGTCCTTTCTTCCTTTCCGTGGGGTAATGAATCTCAACCTAATACGTTTCACTGTCTCGCTAATACGGTATGTTCCTCTTATAATGCCTATTCTTTATTTCCTTTTACAAAGGACGTAAATATCAAAGGAATTTAGGGAAAATTGATTAACAAATCTATTTAATCTCAAATCTAACTGCAAAATAACAATCCATTAGTTAGGATGTCATCAGTTTCACTTCTTCATTTTTCTGTTTTCCATAAAATATCCGTCGACGGCCTAGCATCGAACCTTACGTAAAAAAATATTCTGGCTTCCTCTTTTTAAAAATGTCACAATTGATATGGATGATGGCTGAAGAGCAGCTGAAAGAGTTAAAATCACCGCTCCGCACAATGCAAGCAGAGCAATTTTCAATTGATTGCTGAAAGAACAACGCGATTTCTTTGTTTTTGATTTATTTCGCCGTGTGATTGGTTAAAAAAACTCCACCGACTTTTTTCTAACCAATCAGAGGCGCATTTGAAACCAATCACGAATTGGTTACGTGTATTTTCACACGCTTGAAGCTGTTTGCGTGTTTTTATTTGAGTTCTCATTGGCCGCTCCTAATATTTTTCTTTCTTCTAATTGGCGATTGAGCTTGGTTTTGGTTTAATGACACTCAATCGAAACGCGCTCTAACAAAGCATTTCTTTTCTCATTTAAACCATTCCTTTCAGCCAAAAGGAGAGACGATTGAAATGGAGTGCATGCTTACCAACGGTTAGTCGTTTGACCTCAACTAATCTCAGTTAATACTGATTTTCAATTGACCAGCCAGTCGTTTGACCTCAACTAATCTCAGTTAATACTGATTTTCAATTGACCAGCCAGTCGTTTGACCTCAACTAATCTCAGTTAATACTGATTTTCAATTGACCAGCCAGTCAGTTCCCAATAACGACATCCCTAGACATGGCCGATCGACATACTCTTGCTCAATTTAATGACATAAGCACTTCTTTGCGAAAAAATGACTTTCCTCAGTCTGTTCTATTACTAACATTTTTACTAATACCGTGTTAATCTTTTCATATACGCTCTCGCAAAATGACCTGGACCTACGGTTGCAAAAGACTGTCCTAGTGCCTGGTGACAATAAAAACCACCCGAAAAAAGACTTCATTTACCGATTGCATAACTTGAAAATCTTAGCTTAGCTTAGATTTTCAATTTGGTTATTCCCAATTTGTGTCACTCTTCTCTGTCCTCGACCATCTTCGTTGTTTTCAGGTCTATTCCAAGCTGTTTGATCTTAACCTCGCTTACTCGACCAATATTTCTTGGTGGTTCCTTTAGGTTAAGGGTATATTTGCAATTTCGTAGAAACAAGTCTAATCATCGAAACCTAACCGATCTTATTCTACTGTAAGCTACCCAAATTTCGATAATTAAAATATCTAAATCCTCATGTATGGGCTCAAAAACATGTCTCTGAAAGAGAGGTGCTGGGAATAACTTCTAATTTCCTGTCCAATGTTAATTATTTTCTCGTATTTCGTCCACTTTTTCCTCGGTTAAAATTGAACAAATTATGCCAACTTAAAAGAGACAAATTTCACGCCCACCTTGGTCCCTCAGGCTCTTCGTTCAGAAGTCAAGGAGGAATGGAAAGTACGTTTGGAAGCAATTTATTGTCCTTAATCTAGGGCATAATAGAGCATGCATTTGTTGTTATTGATATTTCGATTTCAAAATAAAGCCTGAAACAAATTAAATAAAAGAAAATACTTTTCAGGACCGGTGACTATCAACACTCTCGAGAAAAGGCCTTTTTGCATTCCTGCCAACCGGTAGATGTTCTACCAGAATTCTGATTAGTCTAACAAAGGACTTTGTAAATTCCAATCACGACTCTTTTTGCATTTTATAGGGAAATTTACTGATGACCATTTCTCTTAGTATCCCGACATTATCGTTTCTGTTATCATTATAGGCACTGGAGGACGAGATGGAGACAGAAAGCTTTGAGAGTCGCTCGCGTTCTTCGACTGGACTTTCCTCCCCTCTCTCCCTACCCATGGTGAGAATAGAGGTGACGTCACCACAGCCAAGTAGTGTCCAGGATCCTGAGGAGGAAACAGCTCCACAAATAGCGCGCGAAAGGCTAATGGTTCTCGATTTTCCGGATGTTATTAAATCAGCGGAGAGTAGTCCACGGCATTCATTAATACCACTAAGTGAGTTTTACGAGTCGCACCGAAGAACGTTGAATGATCGAAGAACTAGAGAAATAATCAATCAAATCAATGCTGAAGTGGCGCAAGCCATTAACAAAGGGAAAAGTCCGTATTTTATCTATGGAATAATGGATAACGACGAGGAGACCTGGTGCTGAGAGTTCAAGGTTGAATGCATCTGGGGTTGGTTTTAGAGTGCTGAGTTTTAGTCTGCTTGAGGCACAGGGCTCGTGAATAGGAAAAAGAAAGGTTACGCTGGCTTTCAAGCTTACGGAAAACTGCTCAGTCTGAGAAACCTGGTTAAATACAGTAGTTCATCCAAACGTAATGTGAAACAGAAGGCCAGCACAACTTTTAAAGAGGAACTAGTTTCCGCGAGGGTGATATTTACGCTGAAGAAGTAAAACGATCCCAGAAATAGGTCTCGATATCACCAATTTTTGAAGACAGCACTTCCATTACAATAGGAACAAATTTCGGAAGCTATCAGTTTAACTTCTGCTTTTTCGTAAGTTAATTTTTATAAAAATATTGGCTATAGAAATATTGCAGGACAAAATTTTTCCATAAAGCAATTTCAGCAAGAAATTTTTAAAGAAGTTAGCACATTTCTCATAAATGCATAGGATCGCTCATATCTCCGATGCATTAGCTTAATTCACCGACGGAATAACGGGGAAAATGTTTTTGTTTTTGTCACGAAGCTGATGAGATTGTTTTTCCTTCTATCGCTAATACAATGGCAGACAAGTCTTAAAATCATTTTTGTAGTATTTTTATTTAATTAATGTTTTCTTTCCCAAGATCGACATATCACTTCCTTGCACTGACACCATATATCTCCTATAATGTGGCTATGAGAATTTGGTTCTATATCAAAAAAGATATCTGGTTTCATAGCTTTCTTTTTCTCATAATTTATTTTCCTCAAAATATTTTGATGATGTAAGGAGAAATGACTCCTGAAAATGAAAGATAGAGTTATAAACCTGATTCATTCCCATCACTCTCAAAAGCCCTTTTTTTCAATATGCCCGAAATTTTAGTACAAAGGTTTTTTCTATATATAACTCACTTTTTGATATGTTTGTTTCTTCTCATCACTGGTCAATATTTTTGGTATTGTGAGGAGAAATTGCTTTTTGATGAGTAATCAGGATCACTGAAGCAATTTAACTTTATCGCACAAGATACGCTTACTAATTCGTTGACATGTCTCACTATATGGAGACATTTCTAAATACTTTTTTATTGCTTTTTGACGAGTAATCAGGATCACTGAAGCAATTTAACTTTATCGCGTAAGATACGCTTACTAATTCGTTGACATGTCTCACTATATGGAGACATTT